CGAGAGAATGTTTTATTTGTTCTAAAGCATTTTCATATAATTGAACAGAATGTTTTGTATGTAATGGCCCATAAAGAACATTTTCTTCAAATGGTTCACCTATTCTACTTTCAATTTGTTCGTAAGCATGACGAAGACGAATTAATACTTCATCATAGATTCCTTCTTGAACAATCTTAATTAATAACAAAAAAGAAAATTTTATGCAAAAAGAAAAACAAAGAAAAATAATTTACAAGACGTCTTGCCGTTGTACATCTTTGTCCAGCTGTACCAACAGCAGCAAAAAAAATAGCTGGAATAGCAAGTGTAAGATCAGCGTCATCCATAACAATGATAGCATTGTTTCCACCTAATTCAAGAATTGATTTTCCAAAACGTGATTGAACTGTTTGTGCAACTTGTTTTCCAATTTGAGTTGAACCCGTAAATGAAACGAGAGGAATTCGTTTATCTTCGGATATTAATTTACCAATATCGCTTCCACCACATATTAATGATGATAAACCATCTGGCAAATTATTATGTTTTAATACACGTTCAACTATTTTTGTTGTTGCAATACTTGTTAATGGAGTTGTTGGTGCACCTTTCCTTTAAGAAAAAGTTCCTTTATTCTAGAATTAAAAGCCAAAATTTCATATTTAATTTATATATTTACCAAAGCGTAACATTTCCACAAGCAAGAGAAATAGCTTGGTTCCATCCAAAAACAGCACAAGGAAAATTAAATGCTGTTATAATACCAATTATTCCTAATGGATTCCATTGTTCGATTAGCATATGGCCAGAACCTTCAATTAAATATTTAGATTTAGAAAGAAACAAAATTGTTTCTTTTTATAATTGATTTACGTTCGGAAGGTAAAACTTTGCCATCATACATTCTTGAAAGTCCCACAGCATAATCACAGATATCAATAAATTCTTGAACTTCACCAACACCTTCAGGAAGAATTTTGCCCATTTCCATTGAAATCTATTCAATAAATATTATTGATATTTATTTTTTTGTGTCATTTAGAAAAAAGGCAACAGCTATACTAACTAATTTTCCAAGTGGTTGAATATTTTTTCTTAACTCATCTCCAATTTGTCGAACAATATCACCTCGTTTTGGTGCTGGAACATTTGACCAATATTGAAAAGCTTTTGAAGATGATTCAACAATTCGTTGATAATCTTCAATTGAACCTTGACGAACACGAGCAATAGGTTCATTTGTTGATGGATTTATGGAATCGATTACCTTTTGAAAAATAAAAATAAATAATTCATTTATTTTTTTAGAAAAAAAAAGTAAATATCCAAAAAACAAATAGTACTTGTCCATTTGCAAACCATTTCCCATCAAAAACACCTAAATTTTCTTCTTCTAATCCTAATTGATTAAGAAATGGTTTATAAATTGAATTAGAAATTAGATATTTTGAAGAGTCATTTGAAGCCATTCTTCGACTAAGCAAATTAATATTATAATGTTTATTATTAATAAAATTACGAACTAAAACAGGAATAATCATATTTAACAATTTTAAAATTTCGAACGAACACGAACAACAAAACAGCTGCTTGACTTTCTTTTTATATTGATTTTTTATTGGCTATTTTTTGCAACTAATCTTTTCAAACATTGAAGTTATTAATCAAAAAATATCTTTAGAATTATAAATTATTCATTCATTTTTTTATTTCTCTAATAAGAATAGCTTATAATTAATGTTATTTTTATTCAAGTTGTACATTACTGACATCTATATATAGAAAAGTTCTAAAATTTAATATTAACTGAATAATTTCTAAAACCAATTGATCTATCAATTCCCAATGCGTCAAGAAAAAAGTATTTAATGTAAAATTTTGTAGTAGAAAATGATATTGCACACAAAATATCTTTAAGATTATAGGAAATATGAGTTAGAATCTTTCGTTAGATTTTAATATCTAATTGTTCATCGTGAATAATATTGTTACAAAAAAAAACGTTTATTTTATGAAGTACTGACTTTGATAGATTATTGTCTAGGATAGCAAATAACGTAAATCAAATTTAAATGTATCCTTCAACAACAAAAATAAGCATCGTTTAAAGTAAATAACAAATTCGAAAATAAAATTTTTTCCTATCTAAAATAATATAAAAATTATTGAATATTTTTTAAGTTAAATAATTCAAATATCGTTTTTCTAGAGTTTTAGTAGATGTGATCTGAATGAATCTATTCTATAGAGATTTTCAATCATTTTTATAATAACTGACTGTAATAACTTTTTTTTCTTCAAAAAATAATAATCTAAAGTATAATAATGACTTCTAGAGATTTACTTCGAGCAATCTTCTCAGATATTCTTGTTCCATTCAATTTATAATCTGAATAATTAAATAGAACAATACCCTAATGTTTATTAAACGGGAGGGTATTAAAGATCATATTAATATATATATATATATAGCTATATGATAGATCATCAACAGATGAGAATATATTATGTGGATTTTTAAAAGATTCAAATTATCTCATGATCCTAGTTAGAAGTAGATATAAAAAAAAACTTCAAAATTGTAGAGTATTTGTATGTTGAATCGAAAATGTTCATTTATTATTTTCTACATGGGCATATTATCCAATAGATAAATATTTGATATTGCACGACGGAATTTTTCGTTAATATACAATCAAGTCACTGTAAGAAAACAAAAAGATTTATTTCCTAATCACACATAATTAGACTTATATCTAAATTAAATGTACTCTGTTCAATTTCAAGTATATCATTATAGATTTTACAGACAATAAAAATCGAGAGACAATTTATATTGATGACTTATCAATAAATTTTCTTTTTCAATTGAAAATTTTTACTTTTATACTATTTATTATTGTTAAATAAAAAAGGAAAACGAAAATTAAAATAATATTTTAATAATCTATAAAAGTTTATCTTTGGCTTTTTTATATCGATTATTAATGGGTTTTGTTATAGTTGTAAACTTATTCAAGTGAAAAAAGTCAAATAGAATATGTCTGCGGTCTATTTCAAGAGCGGATATTGCTTTCATCAGACATTCGTATTTTATTGATTACCATATTCAATAAAAGATCATTTTCTTTATTCTATTTTTGTTTACAAAAGAAAAACTAAACTATATCCATTTCTATTAGATTTTTAATGTTAATAATATATTTTTTTAATGTAAAATAATACCAAATTGTTTATGATAGATCAAGTTAAACAAATGTTTATATCAATAAAATCATATTAAAAAAAGAAGAGAAAATCTAAGATGATTTCATATATTTTTTATTACATTTGAGACGGAAATTCCTTTTCTTTTTTTGTTATTCGATCCTCTTTTGTGTTATTTATAATGAAGAGGAAAACTCTGATTCCTTTTTCTCTTCGGCATTTTTTGTATTAAAAGATGAGATATGAAAAGAGATGCTATATATTCTAAATTTGTTCTTCTATTCATATTTTTCTTTTCTTAATCTCGACTAGTGATGATGATTTCTCGTATCGATTCGACTATTTTCATCTTGATTACATTAATTTCCCATCTTATATTTATAAATGGTAAGTTTTAGTTTTATTAAAAATATCAAGATAAATTAAAAATAGAGAAAGAAACAATTTTAATTATCGAAAATATTTTCATTAGAAATTTGATAAAATTTTATTTAAACTCGTTAGAAGTTGATCAAAAGTTAAGATTATTTCTCAAAGTAAATAGAATTTATTAAACTAATATTTGACAGAATGGTTTCATATAGAAAAATTTCTCTTTTCTAAATAAATATTTTGTTAAATCTTTCTTGTTTCCATCGATTAAAAAGTTTTTTTTTCTATCGGAAAATAGTTCTCATTCAGTTACACAATTTCACAAAAGTGCATATACATACGTTTCAAATCCGAAAATGTGGCAAAAAATTTATGATTATTTACTTCGAAGAAAACAAAGTCATGTTTTTTTATTCGAAAGTTATTAATGCGGATGTTTATGTTGGTTTATTGACAGGACTAAAGATATTTTCATTAAAATAAAATTTTTACTGTGAAAATAATAAATTTGTCTTCGTAAATGAGATGGTCAACAATCAATATTTGAAAAAAAAGAATCATTTATTCATATTTTTATTGTAGTTTCTGTTTTATGGAATTCAATGAACTCTAATAAACTATCCTCAATAATTGATAAATAATTCCTCTAACCTATTAATTTTTGAATATGTCAACTAGATAAAATTAATAGTTTACATTTATTAATGTTTAGTAGCAAAAGTTTTATTTTAATCCGAATATTTTTAGTATTTTTAACTAATAACATAAAGATAATATTCTTGTGAATTAAATACTTTTTGTTTTAAGGTTTTATTCTGAATAAAATATTCATTATCATAAATCTAACTTGCATTTTAATAAAAATAGAAGCCCTGTTGGGCTTCGACTTCGAGGCATAGAGAAAAGAAAATTGGAAAGTCTCATTTCATAATTTTTGTCTTTTTGCTTTCTATTTTAATTTTTTCATCTAGTAGATTTGTTTAAGATTTTCTTTAATAGAAAAAGAAGGAAACACTGATCTCACATAAATTTGGTTGAAAAAGAAAATTCTAGTTAATATTAATATTTCAATAATCAATTCGTGAATAAAATTCAACTGAAAAATAGACATATTTAGTTTTATTAAAAGTTCGTACCTTAAAAAAGTTAATTTCTTTTGAAGGTCAACATAATCCAAATGCAAAATGTGATGATACATTGGTGAATATGCATATGCTTCAATGTTATAAAAACATTATTGATGAAAAACATGATGTAACATCACCTGAAAATGCTTATTTTATGGATGGAAATCTACTTTGCCAGTTTGTTTTTAATTCTTTTTTAAAATAATTTTCTCTTTTTGATATATATTTAGAGCTTATAATAAAAGTTCATCATATCGTCAATGTTTATATTCAATATTTGATCCTAATGATGTTTGTTCATTTATATTATTTCCATATTCATATCAATATTCGAAAATCTATTGGAAATTGATAATGAGTACATGTACTGTAGAGAATAGTAAGTTTTTCATGTGTTTATTTGCTTTTTTTGTACTGAATAAAATGAAAATAACTGTTTAGATGATAATAATTGTTCTCCATCACGAATAAATCAACAAGTTCTTAATAAATGTCATTATTCATTCGATGATAAATTTCCGACAAAATGCAAGTTAGTTTTTTATTTAAAAAAAAATCAAAAATAATCTTTTCATTTCATTTTTTTTAATATCCAGAGAATTTCTACGTTCTATAAAATGTTTGGAACGATATGAAATGGAATTAATTCCTTCAACATATGGATCGAATTGTTCAAGAAATAAAGCTTATTATTATTATTATGGAGATCTTGCTGCTCATATTCAATTAGCAATTAATATTTGCGAAAATAATTTAACATTTTAATTTTAATTTTAAATAATAATCATCTTTAATATTTAATATTTAATAAATAAATATATATATATATATATTTAATGAATCAGTTTTTTTTCTTTTATTTTTCAATTGATTCGAAAATCGATAATAGATTGATTGATCATATAGAAAACTGAATACTTAATTCAACGAAATTCTTATCGACCAAAATAGGAGAAAACAAACAAACAAACAAACAGATTGATTCAATTCTTAAATGAATTATTTTATACAATTAAATATTTTATCAATAAGATTTATAAAGAATATTTACGAAAGCATTGTTTTGTTTTCGTCATCTCATCAATTAATTTGTAAACAACCGATTTAAGAATAGTATTGCTTTTTGTTTTCTTTTAAAGGTGCTAATTTCTTAAAAGTCTTCTCATTTTGTCATAGGCGACGGAACGCTTTGAATTTAGGGGAGGCTCAAATTTTTTTCAACAAACGATAAAAAGTCGACATTTCGAGAGAAGATAGACTTTTAAAATTCGTTGTCACAACTTTGATTGAAAAAGTTTTCTGTATTGA